CTCTCCCTGGAGCAGCTCTGTAGCTGTACTACACTGCGGGACTTGTCAGCTCCTCGTCACGGCTTCCTACATGGGGACGTTTTATGAAAAGCCACTATGAGGTTTCAATTTATTGCACAGTGATAGCTGGAGCATTAGGAGCTGGAGAAATCTCCAGTTTTGTTGCTTTACTGGACTCCTGGGAGTCATCTTAATATACTTTACACCGAGGAAGCAAGCATCCCTCTGAACATTTCTGAGGAACCTCACAGGTTAGGTGTCATCATTTCTTAAGTTGGGTTTGACTTCTGAATACGCATGAAAGAGAATGTTTTTACTGACTTGGCCGTATTTCCATCCCTGTCACTTCAAGTTCTTCCCCTGCTGTAAAACCTTTTGGGACAGCATCCAAATATCATCATTTATATCAAATTACCTTCAGAAAAAGTCTGAAGCCACCCATTTTCTCCTGACCCCTTTAGGGCTTTCCCTTCTCACCTCCACACCCCACCTCGCTTCCCTCAACCTCTTCCGCCTGTCACCGACATACAAGCTGCAGGAACTGCAGAGCAGAAGAACATTTGCTAAGTTACCTGAACTAAAAGATGATACCACTGCACTAATTTGGCTAACGAGAACGTCACCTGCCTCTCCATGTGGCAGAACCTCTTCTAGGCTGTCATCTGTCAGTCTCCATGTGCACAGTGTTCCATGGGCTTTGTCCTTGACCTGTTCTCAGCCCTTCCGTGGCTCTTCTTTCCATCTAACTGCTTTGGTGTGTCAGTACAACCTATACTACTCCAGGCCAATGTTGCTTGTAAGTGGCTCCTCATCAGATACATTTACAAGTTGCTCCTGTCTTCCCATTCCCAATAACTCCCAAGTCACACCGACGAAAAAAAGAAGTAAAACCAACTGCATTCTAGGGAGCTAATGAGAATGGAGTAAATCCAAACTGTTTGTTTTCCCATTCCCAAAAACTCCCAAGTCACACCGACGAAAAAAGAAGTAAAACCAACTGCATTCTAGAGAGCTAATGAGAATGGAGTAAATCCAAACTGTGGGCTATCTTAGAATGAACGGGTTTTCTGGTGGAGAGTTTCATCCAGTGGAAGTAGCTTACACTCGGTAACTGCAAAACTTTTTCCACTCCCACTTCAGGAGTAACTTTCACGCCTCAGAAGCCCTCTGTAGAGTAAGGCACCCTCTGCACTGCGTCCCCATGCAATGAGCCTTCACGCCTCCGGGTGAACGACGCTACGTAATCCTCACCACCTAACCCCACCAACTCCTGAAGAGGCCTTGAACACTCGCTCCTCCAGCTCTGTGCATCACACACTGCCCCACCTTTCCCCTAGACCGAGCTCCCTGAACAGGCGTAGCACCTATCGTATCCCAAACACTACTCACACTAAAAAATTCTACTGGTTTTGTAAGATTTTTTTTTTGTAGGTTTTTCTACTACAAAGCAACGCAAATCCAAGAAAAACGCCCAGGGTGAGAGTTACTCCTAACCTGCAGCAGGATGAGGCTTGCAGAAAAACATGGCTACGAGTGAATTAAATTAATGTTTTATTAATAGAATATATCCAAATGCATTAAATGAATGTTTCCTGGCATGAATAACTCTTCAGTGTGAAGCGAACTAGGTCAGATCACGGTGTCACAGGCTTTTGAGGAACAGACTATTGCTGGAATTTAAACCTCACCTCCTGTCCTGTTGCTGCCTCCATATCGAGGAAGAGATCGAGCAGAGACCGGACTAGGCGGGCTGCCTTTGCTTTGCTGATGGAGTTCAAGAAGGGTCGAACATACTTCAGAAGTCCTCCCAGCTCTGTGCACGGAAAACAGAACCACACAGCCAAGAGTTACACCGCGGCTGGAGCACCTGATGTGTCTATACACAGCAGTATTTATTACACCAAACATTTTATAAGCAGTCTCTCAACGTCATTTACAGGAAAAGAGCGATAAACGCTGCCTGAGGGAATGCCCTGGCATTCCCAACGGGCACTGGCAAAGGTGACTGTTGGGCTCCAGCCTTACCCGCACGGCACACGCTTCCCCTTACTTCAGTTTGCCCAATTATAACACCATTTGTAACCACACTGGCCCCAGGCACGTTTTAAAAATGAAAGCATCTGCTAAATGCTTTGAGATTTTTCTATAAAATGGGCAATGGAGTTTATAGCTTAAGTGTGTTTTTATTAACTCACAGTTTGACGTTTTAATCTGCCACACAAGAAAGTCAGACACAGCCCTTGCTCCGCTGCTGAAAAAATGACATTTCTTAACACTTCAACTACCCACATTACCTAATTAGAACTTGCCTTACCTAGACTTCTGTTTCCACTAGTCTCCTTGCTAGCTCACAGCTAGCTAGCCTCAAGCCCACAAAGGAAAAGTCTTTCTTTATGTAGAAATACACTACAAATGTCTTTCCTACAGAGCAAAGGAACGTGGCAGTCAACGTGGGCAGCAGGTTAAGGAAGGGGATTCTGCCCCTCTGCTCTGCTCTCCTGAGACCCCCCTGCAGTGCTGCGTTCAGCTCTGGGGGCCCCAGCACAAGAAGGACATGGAGCTGCTGGAGCGGGGCCAGAGGAGGCCACGGAGATGATCCGAGGGCTGGAGCACCTCTGCTATGGAGCCAGGCTGAGAGAGTTGGGGCTGTTCAGCCTGGAGAAGAGAAGGCTCCGCAGAGACCTTCCAGTACCTAAAGGGGCTACAAGAAAGCTGGAGAGGGGCTTTGGACAAGGGCGTGTAGTGACAGGACACGGGGCAATGGATTTAAACTGACAGAGGGGAGATTTCGATGGGATCTAAGGAAGAAATTCTTCCCTCTGAGGGTGCTGAGGCACTGGACCAGGTTGCCCAGAGAAGCTGTGGCTGCCCCATCCCTGGCAGTGTTCAAGGCCAGGTTGGATGAGGCTTTGAGCAACCTGGTGTAGTGGAGGGTGTCCCTGCCCATGGCAGGGGGGTTGGAACTGGATGATCTTGAAGGTCCCTTCCAACCCAAACCATTCTGTGATGCGATGATCACAGCAGTTTCAGGACTCGGCGTTCACGGAAGCTGAGGGGAGTTCCGTGCTGGAACTGCACAGCACAAGTCAAAAGTCTTCTCCTGCGATAGGCAACGCACGGCCGTCGGGGCAGGCTGCAGTGATGCCTGCTGAGAGGCAGGGGATGATACATCCTGCAGACCAGCACCGTGCCAGTGCAGGGTCCAGTGCCCTGCGATAAGCAACGCACGGCCGTCGGGGCAGGCTGCAGCGATGCCTGCTGAGAGGCAGGGGACGATACATCCTGCAGACCAGCACCATGCCAGTGCAGGGTCCAGTGCTGACTCAAAGCAGTGGGGTTGTACACCGAAATCCCAGATTATTTGCCCCAGAATTTTAAGTCTCACCCAAACATCAGCTAGATCTCGTACTACCATGTTAGCAACGCACGGCCGTCGGGGCAGGCTGCAGCGATGCCTGCTGAGAGGCAGGGGACGATACATCCTGCAGACCAGCACCATGCCAGTGCAGGGTCCAGTGCTGACTCAAAGCAGTGGGGTTGTACACCGAAATCCCAGATTATTTGCCCCAGAATTTTAAGTCTCACCCAAACATCAGCTAGATCTCGTACTACCATGTTTACAAGACTTGACAGTAAAAAAAGAAAAAAAAAGGTGTAACTTCAGATATTTGTGTAATTTTGAAATTTCAGTAAATTTCAGAAATCTTCAATATACTGTATACCAAACTGGTATCAAAATCAAAATGAAACGAGACGAATCTAATTTCATTTAAATTAGTACAAAGAGGATGATCGGCAGAATTTCAGCTTGGAAGGATTCCAGTAAAAACAGTTGAAAACAAAGTTTCTTTCATATTTTGTTTCACAACAATGCAAAAGAATCCTTCTAAGAACATCTTAATAATATCTAAAAACTATCCTTGTGCTTTTTACTTTTTCAACCTACTCATTTTAGAAGTTTAATCAAGCCAAATTTCATTTCTTAACTGTAAGAAGCAGAACTCAGTGTGTTCCAACCCAGCTGCTCGTGGTGATGTGCTGACACTTTCACACACCTGAACGTGCAGTTTTAGACCACACGAAACTTCTCTCCAGTGCCCCCTGAATCCTTGGCAGAGCCTTATTTTCCAAACAGTGCAATAAATCACGCCTCTGCCGTGACCCACTCGGACTTTGTACAGGGAACAAAACAAGACGCTACGACTGTCGTGCCCAGGATTCCACAGGAGTTGCACTTTCTGTCGGAGAACAAACAGCCAAGTTTTCCTGGGATTGAGGTACAGCTACTACTCTGGAGACAAGTGGGCTCCAGATCACCTTACTGGGCTCGGAAGAGAAGTCCTCCCTGATGCAACTAACACAAGCTCTTGAAAACACCACACTTAACACAGGGAACAAGCGTGCTTCTCATCAGGACACAGCACTCTGCATCCTTAGCTTTGAGCTCTGCAACTGAGAACGTGCCAGTCTTCCCATTTGCCTCATCAAGGCAGCGAGGCTCTCTCCGAGATCCAGCAACCCTCAGCTACTCCAAGGTTCCACTCCTCTTACTGTACATCGCTGCCACGACCCCAGCTTCTCAGGACCAGCTCTGTCCCATGGCAGGGGGGTTGGAACTGGATGATCTTTGAGGTCCCTTCCAACCCAAACCATTCTAGCATTCTATGGTTTTAGTGCACAACATACTCTTCCACGCAGGAAAGGAACTTTGGAAGAAAAGAAAGGAAAAAATCACATGAAATACACTGCAGTACTTATCTTTCCACTGACTCGTTCAACAGCTGCCTGAGAATTCACTAGGAAGTGGATCTGGAGTCACCAGCTAGAATATCACTGCATTTTGCAAAGTACACATCTAGAATCTAGACACGCAAGCGCAAAGTTCCCAGAGAAATTTCGCTTTCCTACCAAAGTAACTGTCAACTATTTTAGGAAATATTTTTTTTTAAGTCAACGCAATGCTTGGTGAAGTGGTGTGATTGACAGCTCTGGAGAAGTGATGAGCAGCAGCTCTGGAAAATGAAGTCTGCTGCTCATCCTCAGAGAAAGCGCCTCCACAAGCCCACATGCTATACACCTGAATTCCTGATCCCAGTTATTCCAATCCCAGTTTTAAGCAATGCTACAAAAATCCAGAACTGTCCTAAAAAAAAAAGTAATTAATCTACCAGTTCAATCCTTAATCTCTATCAAGCAGATAAAGAGGGTGATTTGAATCACTGTTATTATTTAACCGAAGGCTGTAGCTCACCAGAGGTTAGTTCTCTAAAAACTACAGATTGATTTCAGTCTCAGCCAGGCAGCAGCACAGCAATTGTCACCTTCAAACCCCACCAAACTGCAGCTGATTTCTTCCCTAGGCTGCAGCTCACCGACCCGTCCATCTCCAAGAAATTATCCCTTGAAAGGAGCCAAACAGCCACTACGACACCTCGAGTCTGTCAAAGAAATTCCACCAGTTAAACCCAAAACGTGTGCAGCAAGCGACCACGATGAGATCCGTTTCACCGGGCCAGGAAGCGCAGTCGCAGGAACTTCCTCGGTAGGCTGAGCAGCTCCGGATCCGCTCCCCTGGCACAGGAAGATCCGTGCGCCCGCCTGGTGCCACCACCTTTGTGAACAGTTGTACCTGGGGGAATCGTGGCTGACCCTGACCTTGTCACTCCTACCAGCCTACTCCACCCCAGAGAGCAGGCGGAAAGGGAAGGTGACAGTGCCTTTCCCAGAGGGCTGGCACTTCTCTAAGCTGGGTATTGCTTTTCTTCATCCCCCAGCTTCACCACATCTCCAGAAATCACAGCCTGGTGGTCTCACTCCAAACCACACATACACAACTGGCTTCTTGATGTTGCCAAGTTCATTTTCTTCTCTTCAGACCACAGCTGCTCTGCAGTTTAGTGTTCCCTTCAACGCATTTCATACACACGTCACATTTGCTCCTTCAGAAACCTGATTTTGATCAGCTATCATTGTAATTTTCAATTACTTGGCCTTCCCCTTAAAAAAACAACAAAAACATTACTAGCTAGTCACCCTCTGAGAATACACCGAAGTTTTTTACACTTATGCAAGACTTTGCCTTAAACTCAAAACTACCCCAAGTTCTGCAGCGGTAGGGAGGCCATCGTGCACCTAACAGCTCTTCTCTCGGGCTTCTGCACACCAGCAGCGCATCCAAACCCTTCCTTGAAGAGATCCTTCTGATGATCTCCCCCTTTTTAGCCCAAACACACACCTCTTCCTCGGCGCAGGACAGAGCCTCGTTTGGTTATTTCCACAGAAGCAAACACCAGAGTGCAAAGGGCACCCGTACAGCACAGACACCTACACCTGAGTTAATGATCTGAGGTTCTTTCAACACTTAATTAGAGAAACCGGCACTTGTAGAGCAGGCTTCACTTGTCCTGCTCCACATTTTTACATTTTTAGAGACGAATCGTGTGCTAGAAGGGCTTATTTTTCTCCAATAACTATAAAAGCAGTCCACACTGGGAAATCAGACATGGACATCTACAGTTAGGTGAGATGAACAGCACCTTTGTTTCCAACGCTGCTCCAAACACAAGTGATCTACTTTGTCACAAGCTCTGCTCAACTGCAAATCACAGCAGGACCAGTGTCCAGAACACTCAACCACATGTAGCAGATGTGGGTAGATCAGTTAAAGGGCCAAGTCAAAACAGATGTTTGCAAAGACTGGACAGTAGGACACCAAGTGTGCATTTCAGAATAAATATAAAACTATGATCTCCAGCACAAGAAGGACATGGAGCTGCTGGAGCAGGTCCAGAGGAGACCACCAAGATGATGCAAAGGCTGGAGCACCTCTGCTATGGAGACAGGCTGAGAGAGTTGGGGCTGTTCAGCCTGGAGAAGAGAAGGCTCCGGGGAGACCTTCCAGCAGTCTTCCAGTACCTAAAGGGGCTACAAGAAAGCTGGAGAGGGGCTTTGGACAATGAGTGTAGTGACAGGACACGGGGCAATGGCTTTAAACTGACAGAGGGGAGATTTCCATGGGATCTAAGGAAGAAATTCTTCCCTCTGAGGGTGCTGAGGCACTGGACCAGGTTGCACAGAGACGTTGGGGCTGCCCCATCCCTGGAAGTGTTCAAGGCCAGGTTGGATGGGACTTTGAGCAACCTGGTGTAGTGGAGGGTGTCCCTGCCCATAGCAGGGGGTTGGAACTAGATGATCTCTGAGGTCCCACCCAGCCCAAACCATTCTGTGATTCCATGATTCCATTGGCCGCTATCTGAGACCTCATCCTGCTCTACTGCTTTCCACAAACTACTCTTAACATCAGGTCTGGTGTCCCAGTTGAATTTTCAGTTTGATTAAACCTTCTGCTGGCCTGTTTTCCCCACACACTTTCAGACTGGGCGAAGGACACACACTCCACGTTCTGAATCATTGCTGTCAGGAAATATCAGGGCTGGCCCACGGTGACCTGTCTGCTCTTTGCAGGGATGTGGTGTATCAGCTCCCACAACGCCTGAGGCGAAAGGTGCTCCAGAAAGGCACGAGCATTCTTCAGCAAAGAAACAAAACTAAACTGCTGGGTACAAAATAACAAACGTTTTGCCTTGAGCTTTCCAGGGAACAGAAGACATGAACAGATTCAACTCAAAAATCATTGAATAGAGAACTTGACTCCATTTCTGTCCTTTCACACACTCACAATAGCAGGACTGTCAAGTCTTGCTCTCGTGAGGAGCTGGGCAAGGATTTTCTGATGTAATGTTGCAGCAGAAAAATCAATTAATTGAGAAAGCTGCTGGTGAGAAAGGACTTCTTGGGACAAACCTTCCAATTTAAATCAAGGCTCTGAGATTATTAAAAACAAATCAAGGGAAGCTTCTACCTCAAACAGAACAGCTCGACAAAACTTTAGTCACTTGCACTAAAACAGCTGCACGTCAAAGGGTCACAAACTAGACTGTCCAACACATGAGCAAGATTTTGGAATACTGGAAAACACGAGATTAATGTTTTATGTTGTTCACCCAGTTTTTTAGTTTCTGTCCCTTCTCTGAGAGGAGATTTCCTGCCAAAAAACGCTTTTACTTCTACCCAGTTAAATAAAGAGGCTAAATTAATTTCAATGTGTGTGTCTCTTACCCATTACCCCAGTTCCTTATTTCAGACTCACCTTCCGCCTGCCCTGTCTTGGCCAAAAGCGACCCCAGTTCCAGGATGCTCTGTTCTTTGACTTGCACCGCTTCTTCGTCGTTTTCCTGGACATCGCGTTTCACTGGAACAGAGTGGAAAAGTTACCTGTGATGCTATTCCAGTTGGAAGATTATCACTACTAGCCAACTGCTGGAAAGGCACCAAAAAAAGGAACTGTAACAACAGGCAATAGTGAACGGAGCCTGGCCTGGGAGGTCTGGAAAGCAGATTAAGGGGAAAATTTAAATGCACAGTTTATAGAAAGCGCTTCGTCTGTACCTCGCCAAGGCTTTAATCCAGGGGACTGACACACCTGCATGCTCCAACCTGAACACAAGTTAAGTTTTGAAGCAGTCTCACCAAGCCCGTCCAGCTGCCCAAGTTTCATTTGGAAAACACCCCCAACACAACAGACCCTTTCCCACTGAAGCCCCAAAAGCAAAAGAAATTTAATGGGATTTCCAGGGTCGGGTATTCTGGTCCTGGGGTTTCCGGTGATGCCACTTTGTGTATTAAACCGTGATCCCGCGATCGGAATGTGGCACAGGAGCAACATGGGTTCTGCACACCAGGAACGCCCGGTCTCTTCGCTCCGGCGCGGAGCAGGTGTTACAGCTGCCACAGGAGTCAGTGCTCCTTCCCACACGGAACTCCGACAACCTAATGGTCACTCTGCACACCAACATGAGTAACTCTGGCTCCGGAGCACGTAGAGGGGTCAAATCATAGAATCACAGGATGGTTTGGGTTGGAAGGGACCTCACAGATCATCCAGATCCAACCCCCTGCCATGGGCAGGGACACCTTCCACTACACCAGGTTGCTCAAAGCCTCATCCAACCTGGCCTTGAACACTTCCAGGGATGGGGCAGCCACAGCTTCTCTGGGCAACCTGCTCCAGTGCCTCACTACCCTCTGAGTGAAAGTCTTCTTCCTTATATCCAATCTAAACCTCCCCTCTTTCAGTTTAAAGCCACTGTCCCATGTCCTGTCACTCCATGACACACAGCAGCACCAAAGCTGTGTTTACACATCAATTTTCTGTAAGTTTTCCACAACACAAAACACATTCCTGCCTGCCACGGGCTGCCGTGTCAGTACTCACCTCCAGCACCCCCTGCGCAGCTGCGTTCATCCAACTTCTACCCAAGCAAAGGCAAGACCCCTGCCCAGCTCCAGAGAGGGGGCTGAACCCCTCCCCGCTGCCCCCGCGCGCAGACTGGGGCTGCCAGTCCCCATAATTTAACACGTGCGGGGTCAAAGCAGAGTAACTTGGCTCCCAAAGTTTCGCAGCGACGCTCTCCGGCTGGCTCCAGCTTACACCAACCGGCAAAGGCCTGCCGCCCCCGCCGGAACATCCTAAGTGTGTGCCAGCCCTGAGAACGCCGACTCCCAATTATCCAGAGAAGCACCAAGAGGGGCGAACAGCTTCCCAATTCCATCCAGCAGCTCCAGTTTCAAGGTCTAACACAGGCACTGGGAAACACCTATTTACCCAACACGGCGGGGTGACAGCAGGTCACAGCACCTTTTCAGAAAGGTTCCAAAAATCGAGAATTACGCTTTCATACACCTGTTCTGAGCACACTGCCCCTCCCTTCCCTCGATCCCCAAATAAAGGGGGATGTTCGCGTTGTACC